TTCAGGTTTTCAGATCAATTGAAGCTCTTAGAGGCTTATGTATACTTATTAGCTCATTATTATGTCATCTTATTTCAAAATTATTATTAAGATCAACATAGTTTACTTACAAAGTTATTACAAAAAGACAGAAAAAGAAAAGATAAGAAAAATTCGAAAATATAGGTGTAAAAGTTGGAAAATGGTTTTTAGCTTATTTATAATTAAGTTATGGGTTTTATGAGGTTAGAATATGAAAGAACAACAGTTTATTATACAGTAACAATTTTAATCTTCAAGGTTGATAAGGGAAAACAGAAGTTATTAGCAGAAAGGTACTTTTTTGAAGTTGGTAAACAAGGGTTATGCGTGTAGTTTACATATGTAATGGTAGTAGTAGTGGAAATTAAGGTTGCCAAGAGGATTTTCCGGGATTTTTAAGGTTATAGAAGATGATGTCATATTACATGAGCAAGAAAAAGAGAGTAGCAGCTGTGAAAAGTGAAGAAAATGGGTGAAAATCGTCGAAAATGGAGGTTTTCAGCTAATTACATATGTCAAATGACGTCAGATAAAGTTGGTAGATGGCTCATTCAACGCAGAAGAGTGGATTACATAATGTACGACCTTTAAATCATGAGTAAAGGAGGTGTATGTAAAAAGTTATAAGGGAAATAAGAAATTGGTGTGAATCTCGAATTTACAGTCACAAGTCACATGTAACACCAAAAACCTTAACTTCACAACTCAATATCTTACTCATCACTCATCAGAAGTAGGTCATGTAGGTGTCAGAAATGATCAGTAACACGTGGGCTACAAGATGCACTTTAGTAATCAAAAATTGGAGCACATCTGAAAAAATTTGTAATCTCAAAAATTGGGTTTCAGCTAGTTTACAAGGAAAAAATCACCTGTATTCATCTTAAGAAGTGCTGTACATCATATTATTGCGTCATTGATCACTTTTGGCTGTGAAAATTACATCATACATTAGTAACAAGATCATTACATTGCGTCATTACATGGTTTTTAGGGTTATTTAGGCGGATTTGACTGGTTTGTGAAGCTGTTGACTGTTTTAAAAGTTGTTACATGTGGATATAAGTACTCCTTGATGATTTTAGGATTGTAGTGCCCTTTTCTGCATCTTATACCTTTGTTGTAGTGTTATAAATCATCATTTATTTACTATATTTGTACTAAGATCACTTAAATCCGCCCCTTCAAAGCAAGGAGAAATTTATTTACGTGTGTTAAAGACTACAAGTCAAATTGGGAATAATACTTACAACAGTATTGCTAGTAATAAACATAGTGTGTGACTTTTTGCGCTTAAAATCTGGGAATAATACTACACAACAGTATTGCTTTATTTTCTCTGGTGCTTTATCTATTTCTCTGTTATCACAAAGTGGTCAGCAAGTGCCCTTGTGCTGGTTTCTTTGAAGAAGGCAGTCTTTAGGCAACTTCTACTATATTACACGTAGTAGATTATCCCTTCTTAGGTGTTGTAAAGCTCTTGTTGAGCTTTAAATACTACAACGCGAGCTAATCAACCTCTGTGTTGTCGCTCACATCAACGCTGCCACAAATACAATACTGGTATTGTATTGACAATACTCAGTAAAGTAACGGGTCTACAATACTCAGGAATCCAAGCCTCAGTAACATACCTGTATCCACAATACAATACTCAGTAAAGTACCTGTACCCACAATACAATACTCAGTAAATTATTGCAATGGCAATACTGTGCCGCCCATTACCTAGTAGCGTATCTTGTCACAATACCAATCAGATACTGATACTGTATTGTAGTATTGCACTCCCAGACACAAAAACACCAGAGATTGTATACTCAATACCTCCCTGGGCCCATTGCGGTATTGTAATTGGGGTACAATACAATACTCAGTAAAGTAACGCCATACACAATACTGCCAGGAGGATTGGGCAGTAACGTATTGTGGCTGCAATACTGATACTGACAATACAATACTAAAAATAACTACAATACCGTTGCAATACCAATACTGGTAAAGTAATTGTGGCAGTGTTGCTCACATGGACTCCAACCTACGTCTCCCAGGCCAAGAACCCAATCCCAACAATCCCACTGAAGGGGAGCTTCTTTTTGGCTACAATCCTGCATTGGCCATTTTGTATGATGAGCATTTCTATGAACAAGCACAGTGGGGCCAGTGGCTTGCCCAAGTGACCGCAAGACGCTATCTCAACAACCGTATCAGTGCCCCTTTACCTACACCATTTGACTTATGTGACATGCTCAGAACTCAACAAACTGATTTCTGCCAAGCCACCATTTTGAGTCACCACCTTTAAATTTTGGTGAAATCTGATTACACACCTTCCTGGTTGGTTGTGATTTAGGTGCCATTGCGATAGGTAGAACCAATAGAAAATGTCAAGTTTGAGAGGTAAAGCAAAAGGTGAAACCAATAGAAAAGGTAATCCAAGAAGTCAAAGGAGTAATAGATGAGACAAAGGAGTCACAACAGGGAATTCAGACTGAAGAGCAAACAGGGAAGGGATCTGATCCAAAACAGATATATTTGAAGTAAACTTGAGAGATAGATCACCTGCACAATAAACAATTTATGGAGATTTTGAGGATCCAAGGTGTGTATCCTTTGCAGCTTCATCCAGAGGTGTTCCCGGTTTACGTTGTGGGATGTGGGATGTGGGAAGATAACAAACCAATTTCTTGATCACTTGTGATGACGCACCTGCTGGTATGATATCCACCAAGTACTTGCCTGACCTAGGTTTGAAACCCAGTCACTCTCACAATCGGGATCAAAGTCCTGGGCACAATTTTGATGAAGACCGCACATGACCTTGGCCGGGGTCAAAGAGTTTGGACCCTTGATCAATTATCCTGCATTGAATTGTATGTTAATGAAAGAGGCAAAGATTTTTTGTTTTTCAGAAAAAACATTGTACAAAAAAAACTTTGTATCCAGGCACACTCAATGAGAAAAAAAGAACAGAAACTTTTCTTTTAATACGCTTGATATGTGCCTTTCTTTTTTTTGAACTTGTGATGTTGAAAATTTTAAGGAAAATTAAGTGACCGCCAAAGGGTGAACCACCTTTAGAGGTGGCTCACCGACTTATAATTTAAGTCAAGATTTTAAGGACCCAGACAAACTGTAAAATTTCAAAAATGGTTGTAAAATCTCTACTTGAACCGCCCTAATGACTCTTATCTTTCCATGTAGGTTGGATTGAACTTGATTTCAACATCTTTGGTAAGGAAAGGAATGTGAAGGTCACATCCACAGTTTATAATGATAGAGATGAGTCAATTGATGTTAAGGAATTGAATTGTCTTATAATCGAATTCAATGAGGGTTTGAAGTAGAGAACTTCATGAATCAACCAGATTTGCTCAAGAGTTGCTTTTATTAATGTTGAAAATTAATGGAGCTCTAAAGAGACAAATATTTGAAGCCAAAGCTCAGAGCTGACACCAAATTGGGCTCTATTTGGCTGTAAATTCAAATCTTGTGGCCAGATCTTTGGCCAGAAAATCTAAGTTTACAGCCAAATGAAATCTGGCCAAAGATCCGGCTGCATGGCCAGATTCAACTTTGTATCCCCTAACTGTACAAGAGTTCCGCCGGAAATCTTCAAAACAGTGTATACCCACTTTACAGCGGGAAATACTTACTTCACAGCAGTGCGGAAAGCTTCAAAACAGTGTATGCCCACTTCACAGTGGGAAATACTTACTTCACAGCAGTGCAGAAAGATTCAAAACATTGTATGCCCACTTCACAGTGGGAAATACTTACTTCACAGCAGTGTGGAAAGCTTCAAAACAGTCTAGACCAACTTCACAGCGGGAAATATTAAGTTCACAGCAGTTCAGAAACCTTCAAAACAGTGTATACCCACTTCACAGCAGTGCAGAAACCTTCAGTACAGTGTATACCCACTTCTTATTTCACATTTCATACTTCAGAGTGCTGACACACTATACAGTCTATTTGTGCTTCATCAATATAGCAGCAAAATACAACCTGAGTGCTGGGTACAGGGAGGTGCCAATGATTCTGCTTCCAGATCTCCCACACCAGATCACACAGTTCTACCAGCCCCCTTGAACAATCAACTTGGTATTTTTTCTTCAAATTTAGCTGTTTTTTTATTTGTCTTGCCTCATAGCGCACTATATAGTGGAAACGGTGGAAATCCATTATTTTTGCCAGGTGGGCGGGGTTAAATGCAAAATTACTTTCACACTATTGGTGGTGTCACAATTGTGATGACTTGCTGTATTTGTCAAGGTTCACTGATGTGATTGGCTGGGAGAGAAATTTTTGCTGTACCTGCGAGAATTTTGCCTCTCCGCCTGCATGCCTTCCATGTCCCGCCTTTCACAGGTCCTGCAAGTCAGGTTGGGGGTGCGCTAGTTTTTGAGTGGGCGCGCCAAGGCGTGTTTTTTTACATTTTTTTGTGCCTAGGTGGGCGCGTTTTTTTTCAGAAAAAAAACTGCTGCGAGCTGAAATGCCGGTTTTTCATCAAATTTTATTCTACATTTGCATTGCTGGAGATATTGACCATAGCAGCTTTGCATTTAAAGGCAAGACAGATTAAAATTAGTTGTCATCAAAGTCCTACTACTGTTGTTGACAACTCCAACATTGGTGCTTGCAAGTGGAACTCTTGAGATATGGCGTGATTTTCAAAAAGGCGCGCCGGCCCCATTTTTCCCCGATGGCGTGTTTTTCACACCGCGCCCACAACCTGACCTGCAAGTCCATCACGGACGAGTGAATGTTAAAGTGATTCTAGCTATCATATAATTTCTCCACTGCGATGCCCGGAAAGATTTTTTTTCATAGCGGGTAGCGATTCGTGCGCTGTGGTTCATGGCGCAGCCACCGCACCAAAACAAAACTGGGTCAAAATCCGTTGCGTTGCGGAGCGGTTCCGGCGTTGAATTCAGAGCAACTTGATGGTCATCTTGGGGCGAAGAGCCTTTCATTGTTCTAAAAATAACTCATCACACGTGACTTATAAGTCAAGTCTGAAGGACTTGGAAATTCGATATTGTGGTTGGGTTTAGATAATAACAACTGTATGGTTTCTTCGAGCTTCTTGAGAGCTTTTGAGAACTCGCTGATTTGGCCATCAGCAACAAAATTAAGTACTTGTTTGCGAAGTGGTCCGAAGCCAAGAGTCTGACGAAGGGGAAGTTGTTCGGGGTCCTTTACAAGGTCGAGAAGATGATAGTGTAGCTCGGTACGGTCGTTTTTGAAGGCGATGAGGTGAAGGATGTATTCTACAAGTACGTCATCTGTGTGCGGGTTGTGCTTTTTGGCTTCCAACATCTTTTTGAATATCCCATGTAACATGCGATCAACCATGACTTCTTTGGATTCTCCAGCGAAATATTGTCTAGCGGTCTCACTCTTTGTAAGCACACCTCTGGATACCAAGTCTTCTGCAAGATCATCTATATACTTCACTGCTACTATATCTTCGCCTTCAATCAATACAAACAGACATGGCCATAAGTGAATCATATCACATCCTCATTGAGCATTCAAATCGACTTACTTTTAAGTATGATCAAAGATTCTAGGTTTTCCCACAAAAAGGGCTTCGGACCCGGAATCACTCGACTCAAACGATAATCTAATAATTTATCTACGAGTTCTGGAATCATCCTATAGTATCCATCCAGTTGGAGTATGAACGGCTTGACCATCTCGCGGTCGCTCTGGAATACCAAGTTGAGTGCTCTAAAAAATCTTCCTAGTTCAGGAACCGATATTTCTTCTTCTTTTAATACTTCTAAAATCTTGGGGATGTGATCTTCGTGTACGGATTTAATGTTTTGAAATTCTCTCAAAAGATTGATGGCACTTGGAGGTAGCTTTTCTCCATCAAGTTGAAAACTTATGTCATGGTCGAGTATTCTTTTCCGGATGTCATTATCTGCTTTGGTTAAGTCTCCGAATGCTTTATAACTTGTAGAATGATATTCCTCGAGATGTAATAGCAATCTCACGATGTTTGCTTCTTCATCAAATAGACTCCACCTTTGTCTTTCTGGGTGTTCCAAATTATTTATAATCAATGTCATCAGTGATGAGGCTTTCTGTGAATCTATCGGAGTTTCCAAGTTGATGAAGTCGAGAAAAAGTTTGTCAAACTCTATTGATTGTTCACCGGGGACCTCGCTTATCCGTCGTTTGATAAGGTGCACTATTGCCTCCCTTTGAATTGCCTCCTGAGTGACTGGGATTGATAGAGAATGATCAGAATCCACAGGTGCACAAAATCCTTGTTAGTTTACTTACCTAGCTCTGATGTCTCTACTTTGGGAGGGACCTCTGACCACATCTCCTGAGCTACTTTTCCCAAGTCTTTGTCTTTTCAATGAAAATCGGTATCCAAACAATCCAAGGCTTAAGTTATCGCGAGTTCATTTCAATGAAACCATGAATAACTGACCTTTTAGAAAAAAGAGTAAAGAATTACTCCGAAACCTGCCCAAGGCGTTAGCTGTCCAGAAGCCGGGCATTTCTAAGGCTCTAGACCCCGGAACTCGAGATCTTAGGTATGAGAGTGCCCCAACGGCCCAAATCCTCTCCGCTGGGTTGAGAGAATCGACCTCAAGATACATAGAGAAAAGATTGATTGTAAATTTCAGATGTTGCATTTCCTCTTGAGAATGATATTGATGAAGATCGAATTCAGGGCCGATTCTCAGGACAGCATTGGCCATTTCTTTTACTTCATTAGACTGGGATGATTCAACGGCCTTTTGAGCGATATCATAACAGATTTCCCAGCTGGCCAAAACTTCATTTTCAGGATTTTGTGGTTGTTTGGTGAGAAGGTTCTTGAGGTTTCCTTTTGTGATTCCAAAGAAAGATGTTCGCTGGCCTCGATTTCCCGCCTGTTTCCCCGTCCGGAGTTTTGTGAAAGATTCACTTAAAACAAGATTCGCGGGATCTCCTTCGTCGATTTTAGCAACTTTCTGGTAACCGTAAGGAGTGTCCAGTAGCGGTTTAAGTAGAGGAAGGGAGTGAATTGCAGGCAGGAGTACCAAAGCCAGGTAGAATGAGAGGAAGTAAAGGTGAGCCATCATCCTTGTTCTGGCGCGTTGTGGTTAGGTGGTTTGATTCAGAAGACGTGCTGGCCGAAAACCTCGATCAACCAGTGCCTGACACCTCAATATATATTTCATCGCCGTCTGATCTAAAGAAGCAATACCTAAATCAGACAGTAACCCCAAACCTTTCTCAAACTTTGACGCAATCTGCGACACGCGAACTGATAGTCGATGATCTGTAATGGAAAACTGCTAAACAGGATAATGTAGATTTTGTTGTTTGTGTGCACATGAGAAAATGACTTTTGTAGCAAACTTGTCTCAGTCCCACGCTGGACCGTATGGACCGTATGGACCGTACCAGTCTGCTCCAGCGAGGGAGTAGAGTGCTTTTGGATAAATAGTTTTCTGCCCGTTACTTTTATCTTCTGTTTATCACCTTGAAGTCGGTGTTTTACCGTGTGTTATTTATCATTTGACGAAACAGATCCACTGCTACCTGCTACCTCTAGTGACCCACACCTGTGTTCGATGACTGCTAAAAAGTATTTCCTCATAGTCTTTGAGTTTTTGGAGTGTACCAGACTTGGACAACATGCTCACTAATCCCGTCTGCATTTTGTGTTTGATCTTGTGTTAAATACCTTCACGTACGTTGTTGCTGGTTGTAACTTTTGACGTAAAGGCGTTTCATCCTTGCCCCGTCGATCCGAATCTTGACTACATAGGAATCTAAATTTAGAAGGCTATATGGAATTGTAAACAAGATATAATCATCATGCTTGGAAAATCACCAAGTTGATCAGAAATGTCGTAAACTTTTATGAGCTGCGGCCTTTCCTGAATCCCCGAAATTCGAGTAACAGCTTTCTGTAGACAACGGATTTTTTTAAGTTGAACCCACCAAGTCAAAAATGAATCCTCATACAACTTTATCACCACCAGCATTGATATCATGATTGGCCCCGATGTGCTTGGAAGAAAACATAATCAAAAGTCAAATATCAAAAAAAGACTCCTCTTTTAATTCCTGTACAACTAAGCACCAAAAAATTCCTTCAAAAAAATATAAACAAGTATTCCCAAAAAAGAAAGTCTGACAACACAAAAAACTTCAAATTGATCACTTCCTCATCGTCGTACAACAAAACCACCATCCAGAAAAAAATCCCAATAGAAATGTTTTTTTCTTCTTGAATATCAAATAAAACTTCAAAAAGATGTTCCAAGAATTATCGAAATGTTTTTCAATCATCTCCATTATCTAAAAACCTCAATTCAGTGTCATTCCTTTCACGAGCCCAAACATCAAGACCTTCATATTCTTCAATACAAGCCTAAAAATATCAAACCAAAAATCAGTTTTCAATATCTCAACAGATCATCCAAAAAGACCCAATGAATCATAAATAGAGACAATTTCACATACCATTAATTTCTCTTCAGTATACCCTTTAGCGAAGATTCTTTCTCTAATCTCTCTCATACTTTGAATCGGTTTAAATCCACCTTGATCGTCATCATCGTCATCGTCATCGTCATCAACCTGACCTCTCCTAGATCTACCAATCCTACCACCCATCCTACGGGGAGCTTTCTCTTTCCTTCCGGCCCCAGACGTAGCCATATCTCTGATGATCCTATAAATCTTACTGATATCCGTCACATCCTTTTTCATCCCTGTTTCATATTCATCATCTTCATCATCCAGACTAGCTTTTGAAACTTCCATTAACCTTAATCCTTCATCGACATCTTCTCTCTCGACCAATTCTGCTCCTCTCAATCTTGCCAAAGCTTGTGCAAGTCGGATCACACTTAATAGAGTTCTTGCTGAGGTATATGTAAATGATCTTCCACTTTGTTCTTCTTTTTGATGATGTTTTCTTAAATCTACATAAGCAGAAACGATATATTCTGAAACTTCTTTAGGTACAGTCGGTCTACGTTTTCGAACCATTGCAATAAAGTGTCTCAAGAGTTGTGGTGAAACAGGTGCTGGATCTATAACAGGATGAGAAGAATGCATATGCACATAAGTCACATGCTGTGCTAATCGTTCATCATCTTCTCGTTTAGGTTTATCTAATATCAAAAACATAATATCAAATCTACTGAGTAATGCAGCTGGTAAATTGATATTATCTACTGGACTGATTTTTGAATTGTATCGACCATAGAGTGGATTGGCTGCTGCTAAGATTGAGGCTCTTGCATTTAAGGTGGTGGTGATACCTGCTTTCGAAATCGAAATCGTTTGTTGTTCCATCACTTCATGAATCGCTGTTCGATCAGATTCGTCCATCTTGTCAAATTCATCAATGCAACAGATTCCATTATCGGCTAACACCAAAGCTCCACCCTCTAAATCGAACAAAGATACATAATCAATATTCAAATGAGTTCTAGAAGACTTGAATGAGACGCTTACCCAAGACCATCTCGTCCGTCACCGGATCTCTCATGACAGCAGCCGTCAGACCAACGCCCGAAGAACCACGACCAGTAGTATAAACACCTCTAGGAGCGACTTTACTGATATATTTCAATAATTGAGATTTAGCCACCCCAGGATCACCCATCAAACAAACATTGATATCACCTCTAATCTTCATTCCATCACCGACTTGTTTAGAAACCCCACCAATTAATAAGAGTAATAAGATTTTTTTAATATCATGATGTCCAAAGATTTCAGGAGCAATCGAATTGGCTAATCTACTATAAATTGTAGATTCATCTAATCTTAATTCATTGATTTCTTCCATTACTGCGGGGGTCATTTCTAGTGATTCGTATGATTTTCTGAGTTGCGAAATATGATGACAGTCTAGAAATGTGTCGGTTAATAGTCCTGCTTTGATTCCTCGAAATCCTTGGTAAGGTGTAGGTACAAAGATTCCAGAGACACTGATCACATCTCCTGGTGTAGCCGTTCGTACTAATGTACCAGTAACATGCAATGTCATAGATCGAGGAATGTGGCCAACGGGAACTTGATCTGCCTGTTGATTCAAGCGATCGTCAAGTTAGTTTCTCAATACAAACTTGAAAAAGAAAGGATTCTTTCAACATACCATTTCTTGAATCTTGACTTCTTGAAATGGTTCAAATTTAGATGATCGAGTTTGCATAATCAAAGTACCTTTAGTTGAGTTATTGATACATTGGTCCCCTGGACAATCAGTAGCAGGATTATGATTTCGTCCTGAGGTATCTTTAAAGACTTCATAACCACAAGCATCACATGTATAACCTACTACTGTAAGTAATGGCTTCACTTCGGATACTCGGGTTACAATTCCTCGTACACAAATTAGTTTTCCTAGATGAATGGCTTTAACTTGTCTAACTGCTAATGTGTTGGTTGAACGAGGTAATCTAAAATATAGATTACTTGAGAAAGTTCAATGTAAGTTTTGATTGATGAGCCGATTCTATAAAACGCGTCATTACAAGAGAAAAAATAGACTCACTATCGTCTCATAAGTGATTCTGGAAAACCATGTTCAGGATCAAGTTGAAGTGCAATATTGTTTTCTCTCCTTTGATGAGAAATTACATCTAACACATCATATCTTTCTTTTAAAGCTTCAAGATCAGTAGGTTCAGGTAAGAGTTGATCAATTGCTTCACAAAACAATTGATGGTATCTCATTGTATTGGAAATGATATTTTCAAGCAAGATACGATCATCGGTTTCAGTTGATCGTTTAAGATCTTCTAGATCTACTACGAATTTACTTTGAAGTCGGTCTGAAATCAATTGCATTTGATCCATATAACGTAAACTAAACATCAAAAAGAAAGTAGTAAGTTAAAAGTCGTTGATGGATTGATAGACGAATTGAAATAAAGACCTCACCCTTTACGTCTAGGTAGATTTGTTCCATTATCAAGGTCCATTTGTCCAAGATCATCTTCAAGATCATCTACTTCTTCTTCGTCATCTTCAAAAGTATTTTGTAAGATTGGTTTTCCTTTAGTTTTTGATAAAAAAGTTTTGATAAGTTCTGATTGAGCTTGATAATCATATTTGTCCTTGAGTTCTTGGATCGTGAATAATGCTGCCATTTTTTTTGTCAAGTGATTTGAATGTAGATGTTATTTCTCGATTTGAGTGAGTTTGATTGAAGGTTGATGTTGAGTTGAGTAGTCACTGGTCAGTCCACTCGGCAGCCAGTCCTGGTCAGTCGCGTCGCGTTCGCAAATCGAATTCGATTCATACCACAACCCCGATCCGAACCCGGCCATAGGTCATCAACTCACATGGCTTCGTCTGACATCGGTCTGCTTAATTGCCGGGCTCGACGGGACTCCGGGTTTTGCTCCAGGATAACCTCATCGCATCTGTCCCGCTCACTGCGTAGTGCGAGCCATCTATGATCCCTGACTTTATCTTGAAAGCAGTTTGTCTCATCCAATCACTAGGCACTGGGAATGATATCCACATTCCTGTGATACCACGAGCCAATCCAATCCGCCAAAATGCGGATTTTTCTGCTTTAGATAGTATGGTCTCAAGTAGGGGGTACCATGACTTGAAAGATTTCTCTAAATTTTAACTTTTTCTCCAAACATCCCTTTCAAGGTGGGGAGAGGCTAAAATTTTGTGTGAGTGGGGATATTTATCATGAATGGAAGCCAAAAACAACAAAATAGAAAATTCAAACATTCAGGCACTTAAGATTATAAATCATAAACAAACATGACTTTCCACTGATTAATATTCATAACAAAACTTATATATTCGCCTTGCAACTTCCATTGGAGACATTTTGACTTTTGGAGGAGCAAAATCCGTGCTCAAATTTTGAATTTGTAAGCTATTCCAAACATGATCAAATTTGGCAAGCTTCAGGAGTTCTTTATCTGTTGGGTGTAAAGATAAGAGTCTTCCTATCAATGCAAATACCAGATCTCTAGACTCTGAGTTTCCAATTTCTCTGTGAATCTCCATTGCCTTCTTTATGATCTGCTTCTTGATCAAAAAGTCTACTTTATCATCCGCATAGTATTTCATGGAAAGCCATTGGATTAGTCGGAGGATCTTATTGTGATTAAGATGGTCACCATGTTTTGTGATATCTGTTATCACAGAGGGATCATTCCCTAACTCCTGGATTACATGAATCAATGCTTTTGGCTTTGTAATGCTCGACATGAATTGCATGAGGATTGACAATCCTTGAGTTGTACCTTTTTCTGGAATCAGTTGTTGGTGTCCAGCTAAATTTTGAAAGACATCATATACTTCAGCTTCCTGATACATTTAGTCCAAATAATGTCTTTCAAAACAGTCACACACCCATTCTGAGGAACACATTCTGAGATCCTTCGCCCCAACCATACTGGTTCAATCCTTCTTCTTGAACTTGAGAATTGAGAATTTCACTGTAGGCTTTCTTCATCTCAAGGTTTTTTGGCGGCATTGGAAGCTCTGCTTTTGAAATCAAGTTCTTGCACTCCATCAATAGGCTGAAAATTGGATCCCATCTGTTTCGGACTTGATCACTCAATCCTTCTGCCATTTGTTCTTTATAATGTTTCATCTTTTCTTCTACATGGTTTTGAAAGATATATAGGATTTTCATAAGGTACAACATGTCCCATGTTGTCGGTGGAGCCACCATATGCCAATCAGTGTACTCTTCCAGAATGACCCGAATTTGTGTAAGCTTTTTCTCGATGTATGTGGGGTCCGCTTCACGGAGAGCGCTTGCAGTTGTATGTATTCCATCTGATGTGATGAGTCCGTGTATCCAGGAAGATCTCAGCGAAGAACCCTTCACTACATCATCGAAGTTTGCTTAATAAACCAGCAGCTAATTAGGAAACAGTATGTGTGGTGTGAAGATATAGAAAAAATACCTTGTGTCAATGATAGCATTGGATCCAACAGGTCTGGAATCGCAACAAAGAGATTTTGTGGTCAGAATTTGATCCATGACCCTGTAATTCAGAATCCTTACCTCGGACAACCTGATCTTCTTCAGAGCAACTCCCATTCCAGATAGCTACAAGGCTTTCAGGATCTGAGCGACAGTGCTGTTCAAGGAGCTGAGCTAGTTGATAAATCTTTTTGAGATCCTCGTCTCGAATGCCTTGTGAAAAGAACCTCCCATATGAATGAAGTGAAAATGATAAATGCGCCTTATCAAACAAAGTCAGCTCCCCTCCTTTCAAGAGCTGATCGTAAATATGGCATAATGCATCAATCTGAGAACTATCAAAAGACATTCTCATCGTGTAACGAAGAATTGACATGGTTGCATGTTCCCTTTCTTTTCCGTTGCCGTTTATATATGTTTCTAGAGCCCTTACAAAACTTATCCAGTACGCCGTTTTCCAGGCATCTAGAGGCTTTCCATTGTTTTCTTGGTCTGATATTTCACATGGTCGTGTCAGACTTGTGGGACAAGAAAGGTGAGTGATAGACTGGTTACCAACAGAGGCACTGGGGAACCAAAATTTTGGACTTCTTAACAGGATCTTGAAAAGATGAGACATGTGACTTTTTCCCGGAGAGAAGTCGCTCGGCTCTATAGAATGCATTGTGTTCAGCAGGAATCCTTTTTTCGCATCGTGATAGTGAAATACTTACAAGTCTCTCTGGCTCTCTTGATCTTCTGTTCTTCCTGAAAGAAAATCGTAGAAATTCGAAAAACAGTCCCTACTCTTTGCTCTTGGACCTAGTTGCATATTTGTATTGTCCAGCGCATGAACAAAAAAATCATGACCCTGCTAGAAGCTTCCCATGTCATAATTTCTCAACGCACCTTTTGATATATTCTGAATGAACATCGAGCTAGGTTGAGATGCTTCATCATATCTTAAAGATTTGGGTTCTGTTTCTTCCCCGTATCTTGTATATGCTGCACTATTTTAGCCCACATATTTGTGATTGTCAGTGCAATTAAAAATTGAAGCATTGTGAATCAAGCCTACATTTGACTCTGACTGGGTACTATAGCTGTTTAAATTTTGTCAGTTTTTACAAGTGGTTTTTCCATCCACAAATTGTTGAGCGAGTGAAAAGTGATACAACTGACAATTGAATGGTGGGGAACCTTCCTCAAGCTTCATTATTGGAAAGCTCCTGTGTGAATTGTACAAATCAGTCTTGATATGGTGCCTGAAACTTGGCCATTCTCCTCATTTGCTCACAATGTTTTCTCCAAGACCAAGTTCTCATATATTGAACTGATCAAATTTGATGTTTCAGCAACTTGAATAATTCCATCACTTCCAAGAAACATTTGACTTACAATGCATCCCCAGAACGTGATCCATCCGAATGCTCAGAGTCTACGTCAATCACACAAGAAAGCCCATTACAAGCATGATGATCATGGGATTTTTGCTCAAAATCAGTGTTACCTAGATCATGAGCCCTCTGAAACATTGTACAACCATCATGACGATTTGGTAGGTATTCTTGAAGTTCCACCTCTTCGAAATTCTGTAGGGCGTTCTTTGTCCCCTGGAATGAATTTACCGTTTGTATGTGACTTGTGATCAAGTTGAATACAATGATTATATATAAGTAGCATCCACAGTATGTTGTCAATCTTCCAGAGGTTTTCAGTGTGTCTATGTTCCTATCGACGGTTAAGGATGCTTTTTCTGGAATCATTGTTTTATTCTTCCTCAAAGCAAGGGTTGGTGGAGAGAATGAAGAAGGGCCTAAAAAGATTGACCGGCTATCCTGAGCCACAGAAAAACTGTATAAGAAAATTATTTTTCAAGAAGAGGAAAGCTAAAATTATTCCGAGTAAAGTATTTCTCAAGATTCGGACCAAGAGGAAGAAAATGGGGCCAACATTACTGGGTTTGGGTAATCTTTTTCAGCTCTTTTACGCCGGGAGATTCAATCCGGAAACCCTTTGACCATGAAACAAATTTCTACACATACAACCCGACTATCTGCAGTTTCAGTCAGCACATCAGTGGGTCATCGATGTGTGATGTCCTTTTATATTGCTACATATTTGTGTGATACAAAGCGGAGAAGCCGAGTTTTTTTCCAGTTTTCTAACTTGCTTTTTTGGCTGTAGTCGGGGTATCCTAACCCAACCTCTGTGGCTGTAGTTGGGAAACTGGGAACACAAAACCCGGCTTTTCTAGCTGGATCCCGTAATTACATAAATGTATCATCATTGGGGTTTACCGCAAGAAGAGGAAAGCTAAAATTATTCCGAGTAAAGTATTTCTCAAGATTCGGACCAAGAGGAAGAAAATGGGGCCAAGATTACTGGGTTTGGGTCATCTTTTTCCGCCCTTTTACGCCGGGAGATTCAATCCGGAAACCCTTTGACCATGAAACAAATTTCTACACATACAATCCGACTATCTGCAGTTTCAGTCAGCACATCATTGGGTCATCGATGTGTGATGTCCTTTTATATTACTACATATTTGTGTGATACAAAGCGGAGAAGCCGAGTTTTTTTCCAGTTTCCTAACTTGCTTTTTTGGCTGTACATAGTCGGGGTATCCTAACCCAACCTCTGTGGCTGTAGTTGGGAAACTGGGAACACAAAACCCGGCTTTTCTAGCTGGATCCCGTAATTACATAAATGTATCATCATTGGGGTTTACCGGTGTTCAAAACGTATGGCAGTTATGGGATACAAAGTTGAATCCGGGAACGGTCCCGGATTTTCC